TATATTCCATGATCCTAATGCCAAGAATTAGAATGACTAGCCAAAATTAGAACCAATTAGCCAAAAACTTATAACCACTTTGACATTTAAATATATCTTTCTGAATAATCCCTGGCATAGAAAAAAAATTCAAAAGAAAAATAGCAAGCTATTTACAGATGACAAGAGTTCTATACATAAAATCCTGGAATAGGCAGCCAATGTGTATGATCTTACATACCTCTATCAGAAAATATGATTTGAAGGTAAATGAATATTTAATACAAAGAGACAAAGTAAACACAAAGAAAGTAGAGATTATTATTATTATTTTTTTAAAATATTTAAAATATTTATTTACTATTTATTTATTTTTATTTTTTTATTCTTATGTTAATACCCATACATTACATCATTAATTTTAGATGAAGTGTTCCATGATTCATTGTTTGTGCATAACACCCAGTGCTCCATGCAGAATGTGCCCTCCTCAATACCCACCACCAGGCTAACCCATCCTCCCACCCCCCTCCCCTCTAGAACCCTGTTTGTTTTTCAGAGTCCATCGTGAAAGTAGAGATTATTATTAAGGATAAAGAGATGCTGATGAAATGGAGGATAGAATGTAGTAAAATGTATCAATAAAACAAAAACTGTAACTTTAAGACACTAAAAAAGCAGACCAACATTTGCCATACAGTCATCAAGAGAAACAGAAAAATACAAACAACATTAGGAATAAAATAGGGACATAACTGGAGATTTTTAAAATTTTAAGGAAAAGTTAAAGCAATACCAGTAAGGCTGAAAAATCTGGATGGAATGGACTGTTCCTTCAGAAACACTTTAATGGGGGCGCCCAGGTGGCTCAGTCGTTAAGCATCTGCCTTCAGCTCAGGTCATGATCCCAGGGTCCTGGGATTGAGCCCCGCATCGGGCTCCCTGCTCAGCGGGAGCCCTGCTTCTTCCTCTCCCACTCCCCCTGCTTGTGTTCCCTCTCTTGCTGTGTCTCTCTCTGTCAAATAAATAAAATCTTTAAAAATAAAAAAAAAAGAAACATTTTAATGATCATTGATACAAAATAGGTAACAAGCCTTAACAGATCACTAAACATAGTGAAAAATAAAAAAGTAACCAACAACCAAGCCCATTTAGTTTATGGTTGTGTTCTTCTAAATGTTTCAGGGATAGAGAAGTTGCTTATTATGCTAACTGTTCCAGAACATGTGAAAAATATGAAGTTTCTCAGTCCATTCCATGACACTAACATAAACCTGATACTACACCTAAAGAGACCCCAAGGAAACTGGAAGCCATTGTCAACATGTATTGCTCTTTAAATAAGGAAACATTGTTTCAAATAAGTTACTATATCTCTGTATATAGTATGTTATCTCTGTGTTGTGTGTGTGTGTTTCCAAAATGATCAGATCCACTTTTTGTTGGTTATTGCAATTTTCCAGCACCTGGGCCAGCTAGGCTGGTAAAATCACCCAAGATGAAATCTGTGTGGGTATACATTTTATCAGATTTGGACTGGACTTCCAACCTAGCTAGAGACCTCAGAAATGTCTGCCTCTAGATACAAGAGAAGACAGGGAAGGACAAGTTAGATTTCATCAGTTCCAGGAAGACAACTCTAATAGTGTTGGCTCAGCCGGAACCTAAATTCCTAGATTCTAAGCATAGAAAAAATAACAAATTCATTTAGCTGTTGGAATTATAGAAGGGAAAAATATATCTTCTTAAGTTCATAGCAATGAGCATCTATATTAAGAAAAAAAAGAAAGATCTCACATGAACAACCTACTTTACACCTTGAGGAACTAGAGAAAGAAGAATAAATTAAGCCCAAAGTTAGTACAAGGAAGAAAATAACAAAGATCAGAAATAAATTTCAGAGCAGAAATAAATGAAAGAGACTAAAAAGACAATATAAAAGATCTTTATTATAGAAATTTTCACACATACAGGGCGCCTGGGTGGCTCAGATGGTTAAGCGTCTGCCGTCGGCTCAGGTCATGATCTCAGGGTCCTGGGATCGAGTCCCGCATCGGGCTCCCTGCTCCTTGGGAGCCTGCTTCTCCCTCTGCCTCTCTCTCTCTGTCTCTCATGAATAAATAAATAAAATTAAAAAAAAAAAAAGAAATTTTCACACATACAAATAAACAAAAGAAAATGAAAACCACTTGGAATCCCACCACTGTTAACATTTTGATGTGTGTTGTCCCAGTCTTCTCTGTAAGTTAGTGTGTATGTATGTGTGTTTTATAATGTAAGCCATAAAAATGTTTTGTAGTCTGTTCCCCCATCCCTGCCCCGACTGGTGTGTCAGGAATATCTTTCCACCTCATTAACTATTCATGTTACAGTCACATTATTCTATCTACTGTCTGTCTGTCTCTCTCATCATTTGTGTAACTGCCTATTGTTGGAACTGTTGATTTGCCTTTTCTAGAGAACAGATTATCATGCAAAAATCTTAGATACAAAATGATTTTTGTATATTTTCAGGTAAAATAAAATGAAGCTCTGAGCAACATAAACATTTGAAACTAAGTTCCTTAGTTAGAAACAGGAGTATAATTCTTTGTTGGGACTTTTCAGGGAAAGGAGGAGCTTTTATGGAAAATGTTTCTTCACACTGTATATGAGGACTCTTTAGGGTATAAATCACAGATACCCCAACTAGAATTGAATGTAATGAAAAAACTTATGAGCGAATATATCCATTGTCTGTTGCTGCAGCATCCCTGCAGAACATCCAGCTGCAAAACATTAGTGACATAGTAAGAAGTATTTGTTTAGTCCACTAGTGTATGGGGCTCATCGGATGTCAGCTGGACTCGCTCATGCATCTGTGGTCACCTGCTGGTTGTCTAGGCAGCTTTGCTGATCTTGACTGGGCTTGCGGTTGGTTGGCTGTTGACTAGGACACCTTGACTCTATTTCATATATCTCCTCTAACAGCAAGCTAGACTGGGCATATTCTAATTACTATTGCAGAGGAAAAAGAGCAAGAAAGTAGATAACACAAGTGCTACTTCAGGCCTCTGCTGCCTTCCCATATGCTACCACCTTATTGGCCAGAACAAATCATATGAGTGAACTCAGAGTCAAATTGGGAGGGCACTGCCAAGGATATAGATGCAGGAAGGAGTAAAGAATTGGAGCCATTAACTCAGTCCGTCTACCTGGCATGTGTAACTAAACTGGCCTGGGGTAGATGTACCTTCAATGACTGCTGAATCCAGGGTATCAAGTGATGTCACTTGTTTTGATTTCATACTATCTAAAGTTTGGCTCTGGGGCGCCTGGGTGGTTCTGTCAGTTAAGCGTCTGCCTTCAGCTCAGGTCATTATCACAGAGTCCTGGGATGGAGCCCTGCATCAATCTCCCTGCTCAGCGGGGAGTCTGCTTCTCCTTCTCCCTCTGCCTGCCACTCCCCTTGCTTGTGCTCTCTCTCTGTGTCAAATAAATAAATAAAATCTTAACAACAAAAAAAGTTTGGCTCTGCTTTCCTTTGCATTAGCTTCACTCCCAAGGCAGCCGTTTCCATATGGTAGTCCTCAGAAGCTCCATCTCAAAGGCAAGTAATTCTAGCTGAAAAAGAGCTTATCTGGGGCACCTGGGTGGCTCAGTTGGTTGAGCGACTGTCTTCGGCTCAGGTCATGATCTTGGAGTCCCAGGATTGAGTCCCGCATCAGGCTCCCTGCTCAGTGGGGAGTCTGCTTCTCCCTTTGACCCTACCCACTCTCATGTACTCTCTCTTAAGTAAATAAGTAAAAATCTTAAAAAAAAAAAAAAGAGCTTATCTTTCCCAATTGTTCCAGTTAAAGTATGGTATAAATATTTTTGGGCCAATGTGGGTCACCTGCCCATCCCTAACCTAAGGTCACTCAGCCAATCAGTGTTAGAATGGAAATTTGAAATCTGGTTTGCCCTTCTCTAAAATCTGTGGTCTTAGTGTCTAAAGGTGAAGAAAAATAAAGTACACTAAACATATCCTCAGAGGAAGAGCAGGAGGCCATCATGCACCACAATAAGGCCATTTGGGTCCTAACATTGAAGGGATAATCACAACCCTGTAACCCAGCTACATAAAATTCTGCAACAAAGTACTTGAATGACTATGACAGGGAGCTGCTACTACTTTTCTCCAGGGGATATGGGACCAGGAGCTCTGACATGGTCTACTGTTCCCTTGTGCCATTTCTCCTTTAGGTGTGGATTAGTGTGGAATAAATATTTAGGTCAACCAAAATGGAAAAGAAGTCCCAAAACACCAGCCTGAAAGAAGTGTGTGAAGGGAGAAAAAGACAGGACTACCATTTTCTCTGGTAATAGCATTTAGGATCTGGCTAGAAGTATAGGAGTCTTGATGGTCGAACCACCTCTTTTTCTTCTAGCTCCAGAATGGCCAGTAGGTTCCAACTCCTGAGTCAATGCGAGTTGATTATTGGTAAACCATCTAGAGTGTTATGTTGAGAAGAATTCCTACCTTGGTGGAAATGAGGACTGTGGTGGATTAGTGATGTCTGGAATGTGTACAGGAGTGGGAAGTAACAACATGCTTGACCGTTATTTGACATCCCAGGAAGCAAACACTTCTCAGAGTCACTGTCAAGCCACTTGTGTATGGGGGTCATGCCTCTCGTATGGAGTATTTTATAGCTAAGTTCTCTGTGATGAGGAATTCTGTGGTGAATTTTCTGGAGGTCCCAACTGTCACTTAGCACAAACCAAAATGCAGAGCATCATTTTCCCTGAGGAAAATGGGCTGCTTCTTTGCTCTGAGCACTTTTGAGCTTGTTTGGGAGCAGGTGGGGGAAATACACAAAATGTTTACGTGTAGTAAGTAAAGTTTGGGGCTACTTTTTAAAAAAACGAATATGGGTGTGACTATTGTTTTTGTATCTGTCATTATCATCGTTGATCTATCAATATATTTAAAAAAATATAATATAGTCAGAGTTCTAAAGAAGTTTGTTTTTGATTATCTTTTTTTCCTCATTTTTCAGATCCTCTGGAATCATTTTCTGGTACAGACTGTGAAAAGAATGCATTGAAAATTCTGGCCAATAGTGGAAATATTGGCATAACCCCCAACTTAGTATAGCAGTCTTTCTCTTCAGTAGCACCTCATAATAGAATAAAAATGTATGGAAGTGCAAGAACAATCACCAATCTGGAAGGCAGTCCTTCCAGATCTCCTCGTTTGCCAAGGTCTCCTCGTTTGGGCCACAGAAGAACAAGCAGTGGGGGAGGTGGAGGAACAGGCAAGACACTGTCCATGGAGAATATCCAGTCCCTTAATGCAGCCTATGCTACATCTGGACCTATGTATCTGAGTGATCATGAGGGGGTGGCTTCGACAACTTACCCAAAGGGCACCATGACTCTGGGAAGGGCCACAAATCGAGCTGTATATGGAGGCCGAGTCACAGCCATGGGGAGTAGTCCCAATATTGCTTCTGCTGGACTTTCCCACACAGATGTTCTTTCATACACAGATCAACATGGTGGTCTGACTAGCTCATCCCATCATCACCACCACCAGGTCCCTTCCATGTTGAGGCAGGTAAGGGATAGCACAATGTTAGACCTTCAAGCCCAGCTCAAGGAACTTCAGAGAGAGAATGACCTCCTCCGGAAAGAACTAGACATCAAGGACAGCAAGTTAGGATCTTCCATGAACAGTATCAAGACCTTCTGGAGTCCTGAGCTCAAAAAGGAGAGAGTCTTGAGGAAAGAAGAGGCAGCCCGAATGTCTGTCCTCAAGGAGCAGATGAGGGTTTCCCATGAAGAAAATCAGGTAGGTTATGACTCATCTCAGTGTTTTTCAGCCTTGGCTTCTCACTGAGTAGTTGATGCTTTGCAGATGGCACCACGACCTGCGCAGAAGTTTGGCATCATCAAGAAAGCTATGGTTTAGTACGTGTTTGACTTAGAGACTACAAAAGGTCATAAGCAATATGAAATTATAACTTGTGATCTTGTTTTCCAATAACTTTTTCACACTGTTGCAGAAGAGGGGGAATCATTCTTTATTGCCTAACTTTTATACTTGGTTATTTTTTTTTTCTTTTTTAGCAGTAACAACAGCAGCTCAGATGTACTTCCCTCTGCATCGAAGAGGAAAATGTTAATTTTTGCAAGAGTAGACACTTTAACAGCAACATTTAGAGAGCCACATTTGACCGGTGAATTGAATTATTCTTGAAGTCACAGCAACTATTTCTTTCTAGAATGAGTGGAGTTTATTCTCTAAACAGCAAACCAAATATTAAATAACACTGGGTGGAATGGGTTTGATATCATGTTGGAGAAACACAAAAAGTTGTAACCTGGTCTTTCCTTTATCCATTCATATTAAATAAGCGTGTACTATGTGCAGGGCACCTTCTTACTCTTTTCTGATCTATCTTCCATGTTACAGCAAGATCAGTTTTCCCAGTGTCTACTTGCAGTTATACCATTTCTCTGCTTTAAAGCCCTCAATAGGGGCGCCTGGGTGGCTCAGTCGTTAAGCGTCTGCCTTCGGCTCTGGTCATGATCCCAGGGTCCTGGGTTTGAGCCCCACGTTGGGCTCCCCGCTCCGCTGGAAGCCTGCTTCTCCCTCTCCCACTCCCCCTGCTTGTGTTCCTGCTCTCGCTATCTCTCTCTCTCTGTCAAATAAAATCTTAAAAAAATAAATAAAGCCCTCAATAATTACTTATTGCCTTCAGAGTGAATTCTGCCTCTTTGGCTGAGCTGATGGCACCTTCATTTGGAAGGCCCGAGCCAACCTTTTCCAGCCTTATCTCATACCACCTCCATGCACATCTCCTATGCTACGTGCACTCCCACTTAGTAACTTCTGCACATACTCAGGGTTTTCCCCCTTCAGTCCTTTGCTCTTTCTGTTCCCTTTCCCTAGTGGCCTTCTCAGCAACCCCTCTCCCTGCCTCTTCCCTTTCAGGGTTGGCCAGTCTCCGTTTCCAAATCCTACCTATTCTGTGGAGCTCATTTATCTGCTGTTGTTTTCATAAGGGCTTTGGAGTCCGACATGCCTGGGTTTAAATCCCAGCTTCACCTCTTATGAGTAGTGAGATAAGTGCGATGAGATGGGGAGTAGAGAGTGCTGTGCCATTTGGCGGAAAAATTTCAAGGTATCGTTTAACTTTCTGTAGAAATTTGAGATAACTCCAACTTGGCTGAACTAGTGATTCTTTGATAATTGGTCTTGATGTTGGCCTCACGAAGCTCTCTGTCTTTCTTGGGTTTATCTGCTGGCCCTCCTATCTGTTTCCCTGGATACCACCCCTTGGAGTCCAAGTATCTTTAGAAGCATTTTTGATCTCTATGAGATCTCCTCTTTTGTTCTGCTTCTATGTGTAGAAAGCAATCACCTTATCCTTTTGACAATCTGACGGAGCCTTTGCTGGTTTTCAGATGTGGAAATGTGATTTTTAGTTGGAACAGACAGTTGTGTTCTTCAATCCTAAATCAAATTAATGCTCTTTACTATCATTTCTGCTTTTTCCCCCTGACGTTACTGGTTCATGATGTCCTTGTGAACCTGTTACTGCTATGTGTATTTCCCTAGTTCTGTACCGGTTTTCTTCTTTTGTTGTTTTGGAAAGTGTTTACAGCCATTTAGGAATGTTGCAAGTAGCAACAAAAAAGTTTGAAAGCCATTCTTTAAACTGTCAGCTCCAAAATTGCTTTTATCTTATGTTGCTATCATTAAATTTTTTTTGAGCACAGACTCACTTATATGTGTATATTTACTTATAAATTACATGATGTGCTATTATGCCAATGTATTGTGTGTCTTTTCTGACATTCACAAAGAATTAAATATGGAAGTGGTTGACAAAATTAAATAATATATTGAGGGACACTTTAAGGACACACAAAACCTTCTTGCTGTTGTAAAAACATTTTTAACGCCTTGTTTATTTTGTAAGGGTTAGTTTAGTTTAAACTGGGAAATATCCATAATTCTACTTAACCGTCCCATGTTGCTGTAAGCCCGAAATAAGCGAATACTGGAGGGGTGCTTCTAGTACCCCTTCCTAGCTCTGGAAAATACTATGATCACAGGCTACCTTGGGTACTATGGGTACCCTATAACCATGTGACATGTGATCCAGTAAAAGCTCCAGTATTAATCTATTAAATATAAGTAAAATGTAATTATTTTCTTCTTTAGGTTAAAAATGTAAAAGGAGGAAGAAGCACAGAGAGTTTGAAAAGTCAATTTACTTGCAGTATGAGGTAGTCTTACCAAGTAAAGAATATAAAGATTGGCAAAAAGCAAGTTATTTTTTAAACACTGAAGCACCTCTCCTTCTCCTGTGGGAATTATGTCAGGATCTGTTTTAGGGGTCTGTGAGTACCTGTTGATCAGGATAGGGTAGATCCTGCTGCAGCAATCCAAGCTCAGTGGCTTAACACATCGAGAGTCCTTATTCACCGGAAGTGTGAAGTAGGTCAGGTGACTCTGTAGGGCAGCCCCCCTCCAGACAGTGACTCAGCATTCAGGCTTTCTACATCTTGACACATGCTTCAAGACTTGTTACACCAGAGGAAGGGGGTGTGTGGAGACGGCACATCGGCTCCTCAATTCCTTAGGCTGGAAGTGACACGACTGCAAGGGCTTGGGACGTATAGTATAGTCCTCTCTTCTTTCCAGGAAGGAGAGTCAGATATGAAGGAACACTGGAAATTTCTACCAGTGGGGTGTTTGTGTTTGTCAAAAAGTGGAGCTCGATGAAATAAAGCTTGGGGAACAATCCAGACTCCGGCTGTTGCTGCTGTTTCTATTATTACTGCTTCTGCTACCAATAGACATCTGTTGGGGGCTTACAATTTGCCAGGCATGGTCCTTGGAGGTTTGTGTACGTTATCTTATTTACTGTTCGCATCAGGCACCTGGGGTAGGTGCTAGACTTTTTCTTGTTTTACAGATGAAAAATAAATGTAGAGAGAATAAGCAGCTTGCCCAAGTTCACACAGCTAGTTAATGAGAGAGCTGGGCTTTAAGGCTTAGGTCTAGTTCATGCCAATGTCTAGGACTTAACTTTATGTTCACTAACTCCTTATAGGAACACTGAGCTGTGAATATAATCTTAGTTTAATGGGAAGATCATATTATGTTAGATAAAAAGACTAGTTCTGATAGAATGATTGAGAATGTGATTTAGTGGGGCACCTGGGTGGCTCAGTTGTTAAACATCTGCCTTCGGCTGGGGTCGTGATCCCAGGGTCCTGGGATCAAGCCCCGCATCGGGCTCCCTGCTCAGCGGGAAGCCTGCTTCTCCCTCTCCCACTTGCCCTGCTTATGTTCCTGCTCTCGCTATCTTTCTCTCTGTCAAATAAATAAATAAAATATTAAAAAAAAAAAAAGAATGTGATTTAGTTTAATTGGGATTTTTATTCTTAATTAGGAATTTATTTCATTTTCTCAGAAGTGGTTTTTTGTGCTGTTTAGAGTTTCTACCATTTACCATAACTGACTATAATTTCCCTTTAGAGGAAAAAATCATGGAAAATTTTTCTATATGGAAGAAAAGAATGTAAAGGAGATGAGGGACATTTGACTGTGCTTTCTTATGCATAGCAACCAGAGACTGCATCTACAAATGTAGTTCTACCAGTGCGTATTTGGATAATTAGAAGTTCACTAACCTAAATTCTAAAACAATTTGAGCTATACTATTTGAATACAAATGGGAAGCAGGTCTATCATAGGGTGGAGGTCAGGAAGCTCAAGTTCTGTTGTATATGAAATTCATGGTTCTGTGTATTTAATGCTCACTAATACAAACCTTTCACCCTTATGTGCAGTGTTGAAGAGGGCAACCACTCATCAATTCTTTTGGAGTATATTTTGAAGTTCTAGTGATTCTGTCCAGGGGAACTGAACCCAACTCCAGATCTAAGGGAGGATGTTGAGCACCCTTCCTGTGTTATAGGAAGTGCAGGACTATTTGGAACCTTGGAGGCAATGGGTAGGGGGCTGTGACCAAATTTCTTGTGTGCAAAGAGTAGTTACTTGGGTTCCTGGATGGATATTCCACCCCAGATCCTATTCTGCAGGCTCTCTCCAAGGTGCTACTTCTCAGCCACATAGATCTGCATGAATAGAAATACATTTGGGACCACTAAGAGTTGCAATATTGGCATTAGGAATCACTGGAGTGCATGGATGCACAGTTACCCTTATGTTATCACTTGTGCTTTTTACTTCATGATACACTTTCTTGAATGGAAGAAGAAGGTGGTGGAGTATTATAGACAGCTAATTCTTTGAAATGGTGTGAACCCATAGCCCGTGCTCTCAATGTCACACCTGTAGACTGACTTGGGGAGAGGTGAATAGAAAAGATTTGGAGTGGGGGTGCCTGGGTGGCTCAGTTGGTTAAGCGACTGCCTTCGGCTCAGGTCATGATCCTGGAGTCCCGGGATCGAGTCCCGCATTGGGCTCCCTGCTCGGCAGGGAGTCTGCTTCTCCCTCTGACCCTCCCCCCTCTCATGTGCTCTCTCTCTCTCTCTCAAATAAATAAATAAAATCTTAAAAAAAAAAAAAGAAAAGATTTGGAGTGGATGTTTGGCTGCCACTTGAGGCAACCCCCTTATTAATTTTGTAATAGCCTATGGAGTTGGAGTGGATGTTGGGGGCAGGAGAATGCAACTACTGGAAAGTAAAGTGACCTAATTTTCTCTAAAAGTTTATATGATTGTCCTTTCTTTGCAGCTCCATTCTATTTACCTGCATGATAGAGATCAGAGAGGGAAAACATGGTAGAGAAGAAGTTTTCAGAAAGT